TTAAATTGAAATAAATGCTAAATAAACAAGCCTATAGGCAAGTTTACCTCTTGGTATCTTCACTGGTATTTTGCCAAGGTTAATTCATCTTCTGTTCAAGCAATCCTGACCTACTGTTTTGAAAGCGCCATTGACCTGCTCTGCTCTGCTCAGATAATTTGTTTTCCAGAGCCGGCAAAGCTGAGGCTCAAGGTGTGCTGTGTCAAATGGCATCCCCTCAGCATGAATCCATAATCTACCCTAAAAAAGCTCTGCTAAGAGATTACCTCTGCAATTTGTCATGCTTGGATTCAGCCGCACAGATGACTTGTCAAAGCGTCTGTATAAATTGAAAGAGCAGGGCCAGGACAAAGTAATGATCCATACGACTCAATGGATGGCTTTGCCTTTTGCAAGCAACAGAATAACAAAATTATAGTGCTACCCTTGCACAATGATAATCAGAAACACTACTTTCTGTGACCGTTTCACCCAAACCCAACCCACTTTTCTTTTTACAATATCATTCACATAATATGATGAATGCTGTACATTATAAACAGTCCTTTAATGTAGAAAAATAAAGCAAGCAGAGTGACACTGGATTGACTGAATCTCAACGTACAAACACAGTAAAAATACAAACCATTAACAAACTTAATTAGGATACTCTATACCCTCACCCCAACAGCAAACTGAAAACTCAAGAAGCTATGCTTTGTTATATGTTTGATGTGCATGAGATGAATCTGGGTATTCACATTGAAGATACATTCCAATTCGTTGATTTGTTTTTCATGGTTCCACCAGGATCAAAATATTTAGATTCCTGATACGTCCTCCTGAATACAAAACGACTAACAAACTAGGATTTTGGTACTGATTATTTCCACAAATAATGTTTTGTATTAAGATATTACAGGTTTGGAGTTGGCTGAACCATGCATTTATTTCACATTCAACTCAGGAATATTCTAGTGTCTAAAATTAATTATTATTCATAAAGTACAAAGAATAAAAATGTAGGAACAAATGCATTTACTGTACCGTGACATTACACATGACAATATCTAACAACAAGGAAAAAAGCTATTGTTGCATGATGGTGTTGCTGCCTAATATGGGGGGGGGGGGGGGGGGTGCTCTGTGATGAAATACATTTATAGTTAGCATGTTACAACATTCGCTAGAGGGTTTTACAACCACTTAGGGATCTCAGTCCTCTGTACATACGAGTGGTGTGGCAGGCAGAATCACATTTATTTATTTGCCAATTACAGCTAAATGAAACCCAGAGCAATAATTGAACTAATATATATTGTGGGTCATAATAGCTTCCAACAGGCTGTTCACTCGCCTGTCTCAAAGTAAGAAATGTTCCTTTCCTTTCAAAACCTAAAGATGAGCAGAGCACCCTAACGCATTATGAGGAGTTTAAAAAAGGCCTTTTTCTTAAATAGCTGCCGACATTGTAATAGACCTGGTAAGCTAAAGGAATACAGTGAGGGAATTTGTTTTGTCCCACTCCTCTTTGCAGATCTTCTCCAAGTCATTAAGGTTTCGAGGCTGACATTTGGCAACTCGAACCTTCAGCTCCCTCCACAGATTTTCTATGGGATTAAGGTCTGGAGACTGGCTAGGCCACTCCAGGACCTTAATGTGCTTCTTCTTGAGCCACTCCTTTGTTGCCTTGGCCATGTGTTTTGGGTCATTTTCAATGCCCTGGCTGAGGGAAGGAGGTTCTCACCCAAGATTTGCCAGTACATGGCCCCGTCCATCGTCCCTTTGATGCGGTGAAGTTGTCCTGTCCCCTTAGCAGAAAAACACCCCCAAAGCATAATGTTTCCACCTCCATGTTTGACGGTGGGGATGGTGTTCTTGGGGTCATAGGCAGCATTCCTCCTCCTCCAAACACGGCGAGTTAAGTTGATGCCAAAGAGCTCCATTTTGGTCTCATCTGACCACAACACTTTCACCCAGTTCTCCTCTGAATCATTCAGATGTTCATTGGCAAACTTCAGACGGGCATGTATATGTGCTTTCTTGAGCAGAGGGACCTTGCGGGCGCTGCAGGATTTCAGTCCTTCACGGCGTAGTGTGTTACCAATTGTTTTCTTGGTGACTATGGTCACAGCTGCCTTGAGATCATTGACAAGATCCTCCCGTGTAGTTCTGGGCTGATTCCTCACCGTTCTCATGATCATTGCAACTCCACGAGGTGAGATCTTGCATGGAGCCCCGGGCCGAGGGAGATTGACAGTTATTTTGTGTTTCGTCCATTTGCGAATAATCGTACCAACTGTTGTCACCTTCTCACCAAGCTGCTTGGCGATGGTCTTGTAGCCCATTCCAGCCTTGTGTAGGTCTACAATATTGTCCCTGACATCCTTGGAGAGCTCTTTGGTCTTGGCCATGGTGGAGAGTTTGGAATCTGATTGATTGATTGCTTCTGTGGACAGGTGTCTTTTATACAGGTAGCAAGCTGAGATTAGGAGCACTCCCTTTAAGAGTGTGCTCCTAATCTCAGCTCGTTACCTGTATAAAAGACACCTGGGAGCCAGAAATCTTTCTGATTGAGAGGGGGTCAAATACTTATTTCCCTTATTAAAATGAAAATAAATGTATAACATTTTTGACATGCGTTTTTCTGGATTTTTGTTGTTGTTATTCTGTCTCTCACTGTTCAAATAAACCTACCATTAAAATTATAGACTGATCATTTCTTTGTCAGAGGGCAAACGTACAAAATCAGCAGGGGATCAAATACTTTTTTCCCTCACTGTATACATGTATATATATTTTAAATACGTTAATCTATATTGGTTTCATATTATGCATAACAATTTTCTTATCAAATCCATAGAAATATCATAGTAAAATCTACACATGCTGTAGGCTCCATGTACAGTAATAATATCAAAAGAAAAATAATCAATATGTAATACAATATGGTACTACTTTATCCTATCATAAACAGAATATAAAGTATCTCTGTCTGTGATGTTGGAAAATGTATCCCAAGTCCTACATAAACCTACTAACATATTGTTAATGTAATCATATATGTACTGTATGCATGTACAATAGTCAACACACTGTAAATATGTGTATGCATGTATGGCGGAGATTACAAATGTATCTATTCCAGCAAGATTTACTTGGGTGAATTTAATCTCAGATAATTGCATTAACCTATAGAGGGCTATGTGGTGTGTACTGACAACTTTTTCTTATATTCAGACATGAATGTGTTTCCTTTAGTAGTTATATGGGATCCATATTCCACCACCACCTAGCAACAGCCCAAATCTTTAGAGCATAACAAAAGTAGCTAAAATCTCAGATATCAAAATGTAACGAAAAAAAGAAAACACCCAAGACACTTGAAATGGAAGATTAATCCGAGTTGATCGGTTATACTGATTATGGAGGTTTAACCCAAGCACTGAGACCGAGAAAACAACATGATCTGATCTCATATGATCTACTGTGCAGGGCCCGTTTTCCCGATAGCGATGGAATTTAGGCTTACCAGTGTTTTAACGATGCATCTTTCCTACAAATTGCCGAAGATGGCATTTACCCGCTCTGCTGGTAAGTATTTTGCTCCGCTCTACACATACAGGGGTAATAAAGGCCTAGTGCACTAATTTGGTTTATTATATATTTTTTGTCATTTATCAAGGGGTGTTGCAGCACCCTCAGCACCCTTACTTCCTGCGGCTATGAATATTAGGCTGCAAATATTGAGGCGGCTTAGTCTAATGCTTACCCAATAACAAATGCACTAAATCACAGATTTGGCACATCATTGAGCACATGTTAGGCTACACATCATTAAATATATTGAGACAAATTACAGACAGTAGCCTACAAGTAGCAAAATATAACTCAATTGACTGAACATTAAATGTATTTCAATATGACTGAAATAGGCCTATATCCTACTGTTTATATTTTAATGCAGTCATCTCGGTTTTCATTTGAAGGATATTTTTATAAATTGTTTGTTTGTATCAATTACAAAGACATTGGCAACTTTGTATTTGTAGTCAACTTTGTTCTGAAGTTATCGGCGGTCACAGACAGACGGCTAAACCATGTGATGTTTAGCGGAGATCTTCTGTATATAAAGGAGGACAAAAAAGCATCTAACGACGCACTGCTGTTCTACGAGTGGTCTGAGGCATGCTTTAGATAAGAGCGCTTTCAAGTGCAACGTTAATAACGATGGTTTTGGGAAACAGCTCGGAGATTTAACAATGCTCCTACGAAGGTTCTAACGATGAATTTAGCCTTAAGATGCTTTTGGGAAACCGGGCCCAGAGCAATCTAATATGTCTTAACTGACTCCAATGCCAGGGTTCTGGAGGCTACCTTGACTTCCTTGTCTTGACTTCCTCTTGGACATTCAGACACTAACCCTCTTGTTAGATTGGCTAACCATTGTTAGTGAAGACTTAAGAGGCTTCGGGTTATAAAAAAATTACTGTAACGATGTTGGACGTCTGTGACTTCCCAGTAAACAAACCCCAAACAAGACAATTGAATAGTGTAAAAGAGTTAGTGTTATGTTTCACCACATTATCCCTGGAACCACAACTGACGAATGAATCCTCATCCTTTCAGTTCTGCGGTGGGATAATATTGAGAGAAGTTGGGAGAGGAGAAGAAAGATGAAAAGGTGGATAACAAGTGAGCGGGAGAAGAAGGAGTGGAAGCAAGAGGATGTGAGAGAGAAGACAGGGTGAAAATGGATTGGTGGATGGGAGATTGGGGGACGTATGGGCTGGAGTGGTCGTGTTTACTACAAAACTACAATTCCCACAAAGCACTGTCCATCACTAATCTCCTGTCCATCAATCCATTTTCATTCTGTCTTCTCTCTCACATCCTCTTGCTTCAGATGTCATGGGTCATACACGTAGGCCATTGCTTGGCAGAGTCTCTGTACAGGTCTGTAGGCAGTCTGATGCCCGCTGAATAGGACAGTTGGACTATTATGGGGTATTTTGGAGCTACTCAGATTTATGGCAGTACAGGTCTTTAAGTGCTTTCAGTTCCTCTATGAGGGTTTTGTTTTGGTTCTCCAGCACGGCCACGCGGTTTTCCAGACACTTGACATACTCCTTCTTCTTCCTGCGACACTCGCGGGCCGCCTCTCTGTGACACAACAAGGACCAAGACACAGTCAGGGAAACCTCTGGCTATTGGCTCAGCTAGCTTGGGATGGTACACATCATCTTCTCTAGAGCAGCTTCTAGTTTTGTGCCAACATCTATCAAACTGCTCAACTCTTGAAGTTTTTCTTTATTTGTAAATATGTGTATACAGTATCTCACAAAAGTGAGTACACCCCTCACATTTTTGTAAATATTTGACTATATATCTTTTCATGTGACAACACTGAAGAAATGACACGTTGCTACAATGTAAAGTAGTGAGTGTACAGCTTGTATAACAGTGTAAATTGTGGCGGCAGGTAGCTTAGTGGTTAAGAGCGTTGTGCCAATAACCGAAAGGTTGCTGGTTCTAATCCCCGAGCCAACTAGGTGAAAAATCTGTCGATGTGCTCTTGAGCAAGGCACTTAAGCCTAATTGCTCCTGTAAGTCGCTCTGGATAAGAGCGTCTGCTAAATGACAAAAAAAAAATATAGATATATATTATTATTTTTTGCTGTCCCCTCAAAATAACTCAACACACAGACATTAATGTCTAAACCGCTGGCAACAAAAGTGAGTACGCCCCTAAGTGAAAATGTCCAAATTGGGCCCATGTAGCCATTTTCCCTCCCCGGTGTCATGTGACTCGTTAGTGTTACAAGGTCTCAGGTGTGAATGGGGAGCAGGTGTGTTAAATTTGGTGTCATCGCACTCACACTCCCTCATTCTGGTCACTGGAAGTTCAACATGGCACCTCATGGCAAAGAACTCTCTGAGGATCTGAAAAAAAGAATTGCTGCTCTACATAAAGATGGCCTGGGCTATAAGAAGATTGCCAAGACCCTGAAACTGAGCTGCAGCACGGTGGCCAAGACCATACAGCGGTTTAACTCAGAACAGGCCTCGCCATGGTCGACCAAAGAAGTTGAGTGCACGTGCTCAGCGTCATATCCAGAGGTTGTCTTTGGGAAATAGACGTATGAGTGCTGCCAGCATTGCTGCAGAGGTTGAAGGGGTGGGGGGGTCAGCCTGTCAGTGCTCAGACCATACGCCGCACACTGCATCAAATTGGTCTACATGGCTGTCGTCCCAGAAGGAAGCCTCTTCTAAAGATGATGCACAAGAAAGCCCGCAAACAGTTTGCTGAAGACAAGCAGACTAAGGATATGGATTACTGGAACCATGTCCTGTGGTCTGATGAGACCAAGATAAACGTATTTGGTTCAGATGGTGTCAAGCGTGTGTGGCGGCAACCAGGTGAGGAGTACAAAGACAAGTGTGTCTTTCCTACAGTCAAGCATGGTGGTGGGAGTGTCATGGTCTGGGGCTGCATGAGTGCTGCCGGCACTGGGGAGCTACAGTTCATTGAGGGAACCATGAATGCCAACATGTACTGTGACATACTGAAGCACAGCATGATCCCCTCCCTTCGGAGACTGGGCCGCAGGGCAGTATTCCAACATGATAACGACCCCAAACACACCTCCAAGACGACCACTGCCTTGCGAAAGAAGCTGAGGGTAAAGGTGATGGACTGGCCAAGCATGTCTCCAGACCTAAACCCTATTGAGCATCTGTGGGGCATCCTCAAACGGAAGGTGGAGGAGTGCAAGGTCTCTAACATCCACCAGCTCTGAGGAGTGGAAGAGGACTCCAGTGGCAACCTGTGAAGCTCTGGTGAACTCCATGCCCAAGAGGGTTAAGGCAGTGCTGGAAAATTATGGTGGCCACACAAAATATTGACACTTTGGGCCCAATTTGGACATTTTCACTTAGGGGTGTGCTCACTTTTGTTGCCAGCGGTTTAGACATTAATGGCTGTGTGTTGAGTTATTTTGAGGGGACAGCAAATTTTCACTGTTATACAAGCTGTACACTCACTACTTTACATTGTGGCAAAGTGTAATTTCTTCAGTTTTGTCACATGAAAAGATATACTCAAATATTTACAAGAATGTGAGGGGTGTACTCACTTTTGTGAGATACTGTATATAGCCTGTGATTGCATAGAATGCTTCCAATCCTTTATACTGTACATGTTTTGAGTTCTATGTTGTGTCTTATCACTACACAAAGTAATTGGAATTGATGATCTTGGTTTACTTTACACTTTACAGATATAATGCTTTACTACTTGTAGCATGTATGAGCCCTAAAATGGCTTATTATAAGGCTTACAGGTCTTCACAGTAGACCATAACCAAAGGGAACCTCACTCTGTCCTTACCTGTTCTTCATGAGTCTAACCTCTCTCTTGCGGGTGACTTCTACCTCTGGGCCCCCCTGGCCAGACAGGGCAGGGGAGGAGGCCATGACCACCCCAGGGGCAATGGTGCTAGTGGGGGCCGTGCGTATCTGGTAGGCCTGCACATCTCCTGACGCAGCTGAGGAACAATGGAAACGATCCAAGTGGTCAAATATGGAGCCATGTGGAATATTATATTGACTGTGTGTTTGAGATATACTACATTTCAGTTATACTGTGCACAAACACTGATATGCAAATGAAGATTAGCAATTATGTGCCTCTCCCTGCTCAAACTGATCCCCTCAAACACACCGATTGACAGTGTGTGTGTTTATCCATATCAAGAGGTAAGGCACTACCACTCACCTTGCACTACCACCTGGTTGCTGGGCACCAGGATCTGCTGGCCGTCCGAGGTCTGAGCGTACTGCAGGATGGTGGTGCCCTGCTGGGTGGCTGCAGCATTGGTCATAGTCAGGGTCTGCAGTCCCTGGATCCCGTCTGTTCCGTTATTGGCCAGCTGGATCGCACCGCCCTGGGTGATGGCGACTGGGAGAGGAGAGGGAAGGGGAGGGAAGGAGAGAGAGAAAGAGAGAGAGAGAGAGAGAGAGAGAGAGAGAGAGAGAGAGAGAGAGAGAGAGAGAGAGAGAGAGAGAGAGAGAGAGAGAGAGAGAGAGAGAGAGAGAGAGAGAGAGAGAGAGAGAGAGGAGAGAGAGAGAGAGAGAGAGAGAGAGAGAGAGAGAGAGAGAGAGAGAGAGAGAGAGAGAGAGAGAGAGAGAGAGAGAGAGAGAGAGAGACAAGGAGGCAAATAGAGAGAGGCAGAAACAACAGAGAAAGAGGGCAGACAAAGAGAGAGTGAGAGAGAAGGAAAAGAATAAGGTTGTAACATTAGCAACTAAACATCTTGCTTAAAATACCCTCTTAAATTACCTCTGTCAGTGACTGAGAAAATAACTTTTGCTGCTCCGATGACCATGACATTGTTGAGTAAAAGAACAAAGGGTCAAACGTGACGTACTGTACTGGCCACTGCTGGTCTGGTAGATGGGGCATGATGTGGGCATGGTAACCGTGGTGATGGCGGGCGCTGTGTCCTCCTCCGACTTCTCTTCCTCGATCCTGGGAACCCCTGGGGTGTCACCTGACGACAGGTCATTCAGGATCTTCCTGTTAGGGTTAGAGGTCAGAGGGCAGGACGTCAGATCAACACCAAGACACACCTACAGTACTCACAGTACTGCATTATCACACACACGTATGGACACGACACACACACACCAAAGTGTACCTATATGAGGGGCGTCGTGAGAGGATCTCTCTGCGTTTCTGAGAGTCAGTCACACTGTCCACTGACTCCTGGGAGTCTTCACTCTCTGCTAGGGTGGAGATCTGGAAAAGTTCCATCAGGTGTGTTAGTGCTGGGCAAGAACAAATACTTGCATACACTGTATTTCTTCAACACCAGGATTGGTGATCATATTTGGTCTATTATGACCAGGTCTTGTTGCGGTCACAGTGAATTATTCTAATGCTAAGTTGTTGTAGCTAAGCTAAGGTTTTAGCTAAGGTATTTATAAATAAAGGTTAGATCAAAAGGTCTACTCACCTGAACAGTCTGGACCTGTGGTGACTGTATGACAGAGGGCTGAGCGGCCTGGATGACCCCGTGAACCTGGACCGTCTGACCGTTGGGCAGCTGCACCAGGGTGACCGTAGGACCGCTGGACGTGGCGTGACCTGCTGCCATGGAAACCTGCAAAGCATAAACATAATCCTGCTGTCCAGGGGGGACACACACACACCTATAACTAGAACCCCCAAGTTTCTCCTGTTCTGGAAAAACTTGGGGTTTTCTGGGCCCTACTACTTACGTTTATAAAATACCTGTTTTCTACATTATTTTGTCTCTGTATGTGTACGTATTTACTGCATTTGTGTGGGTATGAGAATGAAACGGTAGTGTGAATGATGTCAATATGTACAGTATATTCTGTGACATCCTACGGTCTCCTGCTTGCATCAGCCTGGTCTGCTGTAGCTGAACATGGGGGGATAGATGACTATTTCCATGTCTTCCTATTTCTAGTACTACAGGGTCATGCTGACTACCGTCTCTCAGTGAGTCATACTGTAGATCTCTGCTGGGTGTGTGAAGTGTCAGCACATTCCTTTTCAGACAGTGAGTCTTCACAACCCTGTGAGGGACTGTGTCCAGTCATAGATGAGTCATATTGGCTGTCTTACGGCCAGTGGGGTAGTGACTGGTAGATGTAATGTGTGAGTGTGTTGTAATAGTGTGTGTGGTAGGGAGGCAGAGTAGGCTTACCTGTGAGTGGTAGTAGTAATGTGGTACTGTACTAGTATGTAGTAGTGAGATGGGCCGGCTACTTACCTGTGCCAGCGTTGCTATCTGTGCCTGGGAGATCTGTTGGCTGTCTGTCTCTGACACTGCTGTGTCTCCTCCCTGATGAACCTCTGCTCCCGACTCCATGGTCATCGACTTAGCTGTAGGGGAAAGGGGAGAGGACGACATTAGGGTTAGAGAGGACTTAGATTGGACTTTCTGATACATTTTATGGATGTCTTGTTATGATCATCAAGGAGAAAATCTCCGTAATGCTGATGATCATTTCAGCTGGTTTGACCTGTTTTTTGTTGAGAGATATGGTAGTATTGTGCTTAGTAGTACTTTCTACTTGTACTTATTTTGAAGGATTCAATTTGTAAGTTGCTCTGGATAAGAGCGTCTGCTAAATGACGAAAATGTAAATGTGAATGATTCAACACAACAGATAGTTACCTGGCGCTAACTGGTATTTGCTATTATCATGTTAATTACCATGTAATAGCAGATTGTGAGCAATACATGTAATTAATCTACCTTCACAGCTCATTGAAAGGTAATCAGTGGAAAGTCTGTCTCTAGAATCAACCCACTCCGTGTCTGTTAGCTAAGTGTTTGTTTCTGCAAACTGACCACAGCCGTCCTTCCTTTTATGAATTGAGTAGCTAATAACTGAAACAGATGTGGATTATATGACTGCTTGTAACTGACCCAGTTTTATATGTCTTGTGTCACTTAAATGTGACTGGCAACATGATAGCTTGTACCTTCTCAGAAGTCAAGCAGGGCAAAGCCGCTTCTCACGGATGTGACTGAAAGGTCCAGTTTAAGTTGATAAGTTCTCAGGGCTATTCCTAAGCTTTATCATACACTTCTAAAAGTACATAAGAGCGTTGGGGCTACCCTTTGACAATGTGATGTCATTTTTGGGCTGGGAATATTTTAGCAATGTCCTGAGAAAGCTGATGGCATTATTATAAAGAACAAATGATTCCGTTCTGGCTGAGGAATACCTCGGAGACTGGCATACAGGAGTAAGGAAGCGACCCATTTCTAGGTTATGAACACACACACACACACATTTACAAGCATTTCGCTACACCCGCAATAACATCTGCTAAATATGTGTATGCGACCAATAACATTTGTTTTGACACACACACACACACCCCTATCCCCAGGAGAGGTCATTCATCTCATTGTGTAGGAATGCGTCACTTTCCTCCCTGCGGCTAGTGGGCCTAGCAGCTAGCGTGTGTTTGGTTGGGCAGCTGACATTTCCCTCCGGTCCTCTAGGACACCTTGTTCAGCAGAAGGCCTGTACATCCACCTAATGGCTGCCAAACATACCATGGCTGCACCTGAAATGGCATCCTATACCCTATATCAGGAGTCCCCAATAACATTCAGCCGTGGGCCGATTTTTCCTTGAGCAGATGGTCGGAGGGCCGGAACATTGTTATAAATAATTTGTACACTGCAAACTGACCGCAAGAATCTCAAACAGATATGGTATTTGACAAAAACAGAATCATTTCAAAACGTAATTACATTGGGATATGATCACATATGCCTTTCTATTTATGCGTGGGAATATTTCCTGGTGATTTTACAGTATTTTATGTCCAACAAAAATATATTTAAAAACGAATAATTTTTGCTCAGAAAACTTGGGGGGGCAAATAAAATAATTTGGCCCGCGAGTTGCCTATTGACCAGAGGCCCATAGAGCGCTCGCCAAAAGTAGTGCACTATTTACGGGATAGTGTGCTGACTTCTGGTCAAAAGTAATGCACTATAAAGGGGATAGGGTGCCATTTTGTACTCTTCCCATTTTCTTCCTTCTCTAGACCTTTAGGCTTAAATATTCTCTGATAGCTGCTGCTAAATTCCACAGAGTCCGACCGACTCAGACTTGGCAGGCATGCGCACAGCCAGAAACCCAATACCAACATTGGGTTGCCAGAGAATATTTCACCTAACAGGGATAGCTAGGACAGGACACACACACACAGGACAGGGCTCTCAGGCAGTCTGTGGCCACAGCCACATATGTGTTATGACGTTGTGGAGGGGAGGGAGGGCCAGCAGCCACAAGCCCTCCCTCAGTGGAAAAGCAGGCTCATGAAAGAGGTGCCTGGTGCAGGCACAGGGAGAGAAACAGCTTCATTCTCCCCTGCTAGTCAACTCATTTTTTTATCTTTCCCTTTTCAGAACCATAGCGAAAGAGCACAGCAGAATAACATTTGTGGAATAAAGCTATCAACCATGAGTGTAGCCTATATGTTTTGCCAATAATATTTTGGCAATGTGTGTTTTTTTATTTATTTTGTACTAAATAGCAATGCAACAGTACAAGTGCGTGGAATTATCAATCACTATTAAAGTCCCATTCAGATAGAAGGCAGAAATGAAAGCAAAGTGAGCTCACACACTGCCTCACAGTCGGTCACAGTGCTTAACGTCTCTCCGTGGTTTGATTGGTCTTACAGATTTTGCCCTCTTCAAAAGTAATTGGGTGTGTTCGAGCGGTAAGCCTAACGAAGCCGACTGTAGACGAAAGTCAGCGAGTGAAGTCGGGGGACGTGCAACTGCTACAGCCGAAAGTCGGACACTGATGTGGTTTTCCAACAGCAAGGCTCAGTGCAACATGGTAGTGTTGCCATTGTTTATTTTTAAAAAAAATCTCTAATTCCCATATCACACATTTGCAAACTGTAAATATACAGTACCAGTCAAAAGTTTGAACACACAGACTCATTTAAGGGTTTTTATTTATTTTTTACTGTTTTATACATTCTACAATAATAGTGAAGACATTGAAATTATGAAATAACACATATGGAATCATGTAGTAACCCAAAAAGTGTTAAACAAATCAAAATATATTTTATATTTGAGATTCTTCAAAGTAGCCACCCTTTGCCTTGATGACAGCTTTGCACAATCTTGGCATTCTCGCAACCAGCTTCACGAGGTAGTCACATGGAATGCATTTCAATTAACAGGTGTGCCTTGTTAAAAGTTAATTTGTAGAATTTCTTTCCTTCTTAATGCGTTTGAGCCAATCAGTTGTGTTGTGACAAGGTAGGGGTGGTATACAAAAGATAACCCTATTTGGTAAAAGACCAAGTCCATATTATGGCAAGAACAGCTCATATAAGCAAAGAGAAATGACAGTCCATCATTACTTTAAGACATGAAGGTCAGTCAATTCGGAAAATGTCAAGAACTTTTAACGTTTCTTCAAGTGCAGTCGCAAAAACCATCACGCGCTATGATTAAACTGGCTCTCATGAGGACCGCCACAGGAAAGGAAGACCCAGAGTTACCTCTGCTGCATTCTGCAGCGATACGCCATCCCATCTGGTTTGCGCTTAGTGGGACTATCATTTGTTTTTCAGCAGGACAATGACCCAACACACCTCCAGGCTGTGTAAGGGCTATTTTACCAAGAAGGAGAGTGATGGAGTGCTGCATCAGATCACCCGACCTCAACCTAATTGAGATGGTTTGGGATGAGTTGGACCGCAGAGTGAAGGAAAAGCAGCCAACAAGTGCTCAGCATATATGGGAACTCCTTCAAGACTGTTGGAAAAGCATTTCAGGTGAAGTTGGTTGAGAGAATGCCAAGTGTGTGCAAAGCTGTCATCAAGGCAAAGGGTGGCTACTTTGAAGAATCTAAAATCTAAAATCTATTTTGATTTGTTTAACACTTTTTTGGTTACTACATGAATCCATATGTGTTATTTCATAGTTTTGATGTCTTCACTATTATTCTACAAAGTAGAAAATAGTAAAAAATAGAGAAAAACCCTTGAATGAGTAGGTGTGTCCAAACTTTTGACTGGTACTGTATGTGTTTACATTATATTATCAATTGGTGAGAGAGAACCTCAAATATTACATTCAATTGTACATATAGACTTTATACATGAATCACTGCAAAGATGGTTCTGGTTTCAGTTACATCTTTGGTCACGTTCGCTTGGGTCAAACAAAAACACCCTAATGATTGGTTGACAATAGAGCCTCCCACAATGCAGGTGATGGCTGCAGGATGAAGTTGGTGAAGAGCAACTGCAGAAATCTGCAGTCAAAACTTCATGACCTTTGAGCACATGGTTTTTGTAGTTCATGCAGCCGCAAGTCGGCCCATTTGTATCCCCGTAATGCAACACACTTTGGAAGGCGGTGACCATCTGACAAAAGTGATCCGCTCGAATGCGCCCAGTGTCAGCATAGTTGCTATTGTTTATAAAAGTGTTTCTGTATAAATGTCTAAATTATATTTTCCATACCCTCATATCACACACTCACAAATTGAAAACATAAAGTGTGTACAATTAATTGGTTAGAGAGAGGTCTCCAATATCACATTCATTTGTATCCCGTCGCTTTAGAATCATGGCAAAGTTGGTTCCTGTTCCATTCACCTCTTTGGCCATGTTCACTTGGGTCAAACAAAAACACCCTAATGACTGCTTGACAAATAGTGCCTCCTACAATGTAGGTGATGGCTGCATTGTGCAGTTGGTGAGAAGCAACTGCAGCCACTTCATAAAAAACTGCATGACCTTTGATCACATGATTTTTGAAAAGTTCATGTAGTCAACATGTAGCAGCAAGTCAGACAATTTTTATAACCATAATGCAACACACGTTGAAAGACTTGACAAAAGTGATCTGCTCAAACACGTCCATTCAGTAGATCTGCTCCTTGACAAGACAGAGCCACATGGAGAGCAGCGACACCCCCTTTGTGCCATACCATACATAAATAGCTTACCATTGGTTTTACATTTAGTTCACGATAATTTCTGTGAACTTTTGAGAGCGATATGAAACATTATATCATGCCGTATAATAAATGAATATCCAAAATAGGCTTACCAAAAACTCATAGTGGCCTTATATGTTTGAGAATGTTTTGACTAGACTACACTTACATTACTTTATTTTGGCAAAAGAAACGACTAGAAGCAAATAGACAAGCATTACATGATGGGCCATATTATTGTAGGGACCCAGACATATGGATACATCATCCAAATTAGGGCACGTGTCTAGGCTGATGGTTTCATATTTTAGAATAGGACTGCAAAGTAACAACCCTTCTCCCAAAGAGTTGGTTTGACTAGTGGACTAGGCCTACCCCTAT